TTGGGGCCTAAAGCAACACTTGTCATCACAGAGGACATGTAGGAATGTCTTTTAATCAGAAATTGGGAAATTCACATGCATGTTTATATAAACGTATCTATACAAGCAGATTTCACACAGAGAATATAAGGTTAAAATAATTTCCTAATCATATCTCAGAAACTTTAAAAAGTAATGTTTTCTCCTATACACACAGGACTGAATATTACATGTGAGTAGGAAGAAAGGCTACTAATAACTGGTAACTTTAACTGTAAATCTTTTGTGTAAACAACATACTGATGTTGACATAGAAAACAGCTTCTAAGGCAAATATCACTGATGTCAAAAAATACTATTTTATCAGAACCAAATTTTTTCTAAGGGGAATCACCTAAGTGACTGGTCAACACTATTATGATAGCATTTAATGGTTTCCTAATTTAGTCTCTTTTGAGAATGAATTTTTATATACCTGAATCTCCACAAATTAGACCTCAATAATAATTACCTCACACTTAGAAAACAGTGACCTAAGGGATTAAAGGAAACTTTAATGAATTACAAGTAAGAGTTTCATCAGGTAGGACTATATTAAAAGAAACTGGTGCCTCAAATACAGGGTTGGAAGAATCTCACGTTAGAGACAATTTTGTGGAAACTCTAGCAGTAATTGTAAGAAAATAACAAGTTTATTAAATTTAAATAACCCATTGCCGTTCCTAGGACCCTTTCTGCTAGCTATGATGGGTACCAAGGAAAATCTGTTTATTTTCTTGCTTATCAGGACTTGAGTACCTTAAGTACCAGGAAAGAACATATTAGAAGATTCAGAAGAAAAGAGAAGGGGGTGAGGGAGAGAGAGACAGACAGACAGAGAGAAAGAAGGAGAGAGAGAGAGAGAGAGAGAGAGAGAGAGAGAGAGAGAGAAGGAGGGAGGGAAGGAGGGAGAGAGGGAGAGAGAGAGAGAGAGGAGAAAAAGAAGAAGAGTAGGAGGAGGAAGAAGAGGAAGAGGAGGAAGAGGAGAAGGAAGAGGAGGGAAGCGGGAAAGAGGGGGAGGGGAGAGAGAATAATCATGTACAGGTTAATTTGAAACAAGATAAGGAAAAGGTTCACACTCACTGGACAGTCCTACAATGGAGCGGCAGATGCTGCCTCTGCTGTTCTTGGTAGCAGATGGGGTTGATACAGATTGTCTCTGACCCTCACAGTATCTGTTTGTTTAATGCCAGCTGGTAGTTTCTCCATCACCACTCAACCATCAGCCACACTGTAGTACAAGGATCTGTCTCAGCAACAGGATCCAAAGTCAGAACAGACTGCAGGGTCCCCAGTAGCTTCCTGAACCTCTGCGTGCAGCGTTGCACCTGATATCGAAAGCGTATGGAGCTTTTACACGCTAGTATTTCAGATCATTTAAACACAGGGAAATGGGTTTCCTTATATATAGAATCTTCTCTCTAGATGATGAGACTATCATAAGTTGTCTGCTGAGTTCCCAGATGTCTGCCTTGTAACCAAAAAGTAAAGACAATCACTCTTTGGGGAAAACCCAATATACGCAATGCTGCAACTAGTAGTACTGAGTCATATATTAAGTAAGTATGTACCACATCTGACTTGCATCTGACTTCCCACTGTAATTCATTTAAGAATCTAGTATCACACATCAATAGTGTGCATTGCCTCCTATGATGTCGCTACGAGGTAGGAAATCCATCAAAACTATATGTAATAGTTTTAATGAGGAATAATCAGAAAGACTGCTTTTTTCACATTATAAGTGGTTAGTATAAAATATTCCTTCCCATAAAAAACCATATAATGAATATACCTCTACTTATATTTTACTGTATGTAGGATTTATCTTATCTTATATAATTAACATTACAAAAATATGCAATGACTACAGTTAGACACAGAACTAACTACAGTTAGTACTACAGTTAGTACTACAGCTTCTACAGAACTGTTAATCCAACATAGCATTTACTGAAAGTATAGCCTTAATGATTTTCCGTAAACAGAGTCAACTAGACCTTTTGATTTTAAGTAAAACTTTTATATTCATACCTAAATTTTTAATGGATTTGGTAAGCCCTGTATTTGGAGGACACGGGACAATCTATAGGAGTCAATTCTTTCCCTCTACCATGTAAGTACAAGAAATTAAACTCACTTTATCAACCCACTGAGCAATCCTTCTAGCCCCTAAACTCTATTCTATTTTTAATATCTACAGGATAAGAATTACATTTAAAGTAAATATCTAGGGGAAAATGGTTCACTAGGTTAAGTACCTGCCACACATTCCTAAGGATCAGAATTTGAATCCCCAAAATCCACATTAAAGCTGGATGGGCATGATAGCCTACTTGATTCTCTAGCTTCTGAAGGTAGAAGGCAGAGGATCCCCAGAGCAAGCAAGCTAGCAAAAGCTTGCCGCATCAGTAATCTCTGGGCTTGATTGAGAGACCCTGACTCCATTGATAAGATGGAAGAGTAACAAAAGATTGCAAAGGAAAAAACGTCAATACCGCTTTTAAGAACTCTCCCAATTTCAGAAATATTAAATCCAAACACACCCTGATGCTGAGACAATATATCCATGTACAAGGTTTATCAAAATGAAATGTACTTGATAATGTAGGAAATGTGGGATTTTAAAACACATAATCAGAGTTAGCCTCCTAAGTGCTGATTCAAAATAGAACTTTGCCTTATAGAGACCAGTTTTCTCTAGACACTAAATCCAACCGGGGAATGTGTGTATACATAAAATATACAAATAATAAGTATATCGTGCCATATTATTTGCCAAAATGTAACCGTGGACACTGCAAATTCTTCACAGGAGAGTTAATTTCATGGAAATCAGGATGGACCCCAAATAAATGCAGAAGATATGCATTTCTATTAATAACAGCAACAGTCCAGCAGATATGTGACCCACGGGCATCATTGAGTATTGATTTCCCAGAAGCTGCTATGAAACTTTGCTCCCAATAATGGGTCTAGGTTTTTCTCTCCTATGCAGTTTAAACAAATTTCTGCTGTACAATTATTTTATATAATAGCATTTTAGTGCTCAGAGCTAACTCGTCTGCAACAAAAAGAAGTTTGATTTTTAACCATGAATATCTTATATTACTGTTACGTGTTTTTTTCTGTGACCTTCCCATGGTTGTGACTGTTTGTATTAGGTTTATGTGCCATATAGTTCCACGTATCAAATTTGAGAACTTCACAGAACTAGGAAAGACTACACAGGAACTTCACTGGGTAAACTGAATTATTCTTCTAACACCAAGGACTAAGATCTACATATTTAACACATTGAGATATTCATCACAAATAATCTCAAAGAAAAGACTATTCGGGCTGAAAGGAAAAAAAATAAGGAAACCCTTTTACACTAAGGGAGAAGCAACCGTGGATAAGATGTCAGGGGTGCAAAAACAAAATATGGAGGAGATCCTGTGCCTAGAAAGGACAGGGCAAACAGTAAAGAAGTAGATGATACAGATTTGACATTCTGTCTCCCTTGGCTTCCTGCTCTAATTTCAGCTGAGACCAGAAAGGCATTTAGTCTGAGATACACAAACATTGTATCCATTTGCCAAACAAGAATGGTACAAGGTTTCATTCAATGAAATTCAGCAACATGAATGAGCAATTATACTGGCCTATTTTCTGAGACAGTATCACAAAAATGAGGACTGATTGGTTACAAATAAAGATAGTTTATTTGGGCTCACGGTTCCAGGGATACAAAGTCTCAAGACCTCATTTGGTGATAGCCTTCTTGCTGACAGAGTACAGACCTTCACAGGGTGAGAGTCGGAGAGTATGTGTGTCCCTTTAAGGCTCCCTCTGCTGCTTCTCAGTCTCTTCCTATAAAGGCACAGGACTCAATATTTAGAAGTCTATTCTAATGAGCATCCAACTATTTATCTCCCAGAAATCCCAGATCTAAACATGAGTCGAGTTGTTCCTACCATCTTAATACATCACAGTGAAACTAGAGTGTCAATACCTGGACCTGAACAGAGGACCTTTAAACACCACATAAACCATAACACATATTAAACTAAGGTCAGGGCTGAAGGTTCCTCCATGCTTCCTTGACTTTCTAACTTAATAAGAAAATAAGCGGAAATACTCTCTAGACTTTAGCATCTGGCGGTACTTAAGACTCCTGCGGTCTCTAACGTGTGTTCCTTTGTGTCCATAACTGTTGTCATTGCTTCTGCTGCTTTACTCTTTAGCTTTTGCCATCTTTGATTAGTAAAGAAGCCCCTTCCCCAAAGTAGCTCCTCCTTTGCAGCTTGGTAGAGCTTCACAGAAGTCATAGATCTCTTGGATGGCTGTTCTCTATGCTCCATCTTTCAGATACACAGATCAAACTACAGCGTTTAATGTGTCAAGGGATCATCGTAATGAAATCGGATTTAATGAAAGGGATTATGAGTAAGCATAGTTAGAATGACTTGACAGTTCTCTTCTGAAGCGTTCCACAAAGTAGCAAGGCTAGTGAAGAAATCAGGACCCATTGCTTCAGAGACCTGCAGGACAATGGGACCAGGTGGTTGAAGAAGAGGGAGGTGATGCTGACTCATGACAAAGTCACAGAGTCATTTTTTTTTTACCGAACACCAGTTCCATAAGTAACCAGATAATACTTTTCTTATTTCAAAAAACCCATTTCAGACCAGTGAGAGAAAGCCATTTTCTTGACTTACAATGAAGAAAAAAAATTTTTTTTATCATTTTTAGAACCACTTAAACTACTGTTTATCTGAAGGTTCTACTTAATAATGAAGCAGATCCACAGGAGCCTCCAGCTTCTGTATGGAATTCATTTCTGTGAAAATGGCAGAAAGGAACAGGGTACTGTGGGCATAGCAGAGCCACAGACACACAAAGGATAGGCAGATCCACATTAGTCTCGGAGTCTTGCCCTGGATACTTGTCTGTCTTTTGATAACTGACTTTTCTCATGTCATCTCTTTTTTCCCCAGATACCTTTATCAATGAATGTGTCAACCTTTCTGGCATACGACCAGCCCACAATAAGTTACTGTGGGGTCCATCATGAACTCCTCTCCCATAAGTCCTTTGAAACGAATGCACAGGAAGACACGATGGAAAGCCACCTAGAGACTGAGCTGGACTTGAGCACAATTACGTCAGCTGGCCGCATCAGCGACCATAAACCACAGCTGGCCTGACCGAGCTGAGCAGTAGCCCAGGCTTGCTACCCAACTATAACCTCAACCGCAGAAAGAGGAGAATCTGTTCACTGCAACTCTTGAGTACAAAAACAAAAGCAAAACTCCCCTGTTCAAATAAACAAAATTCTAAGATTGGTTCATGAAATAAAAGAAGACATGAATTGTTTCAAGTCTATACTTTGTAACTAGCTAAGTTGTGCAGTATTTTTTTGACTTTGACAGAGAATGACCCTGAAAACAAATGATCATTTTTTTCCAAAACTCATCCTACCTACGTGTAAAAAAAAAATTGTACAGCGCTAATGTATTTTTCATATTATAAAGTTTCAATTCTAGAAACGACTGGTATGTACAGTACCGTAATTTAATTATGCTTTACAAACTTTACACCTTTCAGTTTCTAAAATTTTAAATTAACAAACATTATTTCTTGTGTTCTTGAGAGTTACTTGGTTTTGTAGGGACTGTTTTGTTACTGCATTTGTGCCCAGAAACCTTGACTCTGAAATCTGCTGTGCGAATAATGCACGATTTTTTTTTATCATTACCACGCTGACTGCATAGAATTTTATCTATTTGTTCCAGAGATAATACATTAACCAAAAGAAGGTTTTAATTGTTCAGACGTGTAAGAGGTTCTTCAATTATGTAGACAGGTCTTTCTTATAAACGGAAAAAAAATCAGATTTTTTTTTTTAACAGTTCTTCTAAGACTTAACTGTTGCCTTGAATTACAGCCTAGTTTCTAAGCGGTGAAATGTAATGATAAAGAGGGATATTTTAACAAAATATTTCTGAATGAATGACTCATTATTTCAGTCTTTTGAGTAACCATTGTTAAGGGTAGGGGAAAGCATGGACCAAACATCACTGGAAACAAAGGTCGTAACCACAGCAACAGACTTCTATATACTTCAAAGGTGCAGCTAAAGTGACAAAGAAAAACCCCTGTTACATCTCCATGTTGTCAGGCCAAGGTGGGAGGATATGGCATAATCGTACAGTAGCAATTTTTTTCTCTTAATTAACCCAAAGTGGTTTATCTAAAAATAACCAGGAGTCAATTCAAACTGTGCCTGGTTCTTAAGGCAAGTTTTTGTTTGGAAGGTGAAACTGTATTTGGGGGAACATCTTGTAAAAAAAAAATACAGATTTTTTTTTCTTATTGTGTGTCACACCTAAGAAAGAATTTTATACATCTGGTTCTTTGAGGATAAACAGAATGGACAGAATAGACTGTTCCATTGCTTATGTTGTTGTTGATTTGAGAGTTTAGGTACAAATTATCCAAAACAATAATCAAGAGATGCTGGCCATCAGTCTAACTCACATATTGGTTATGTGATTGTGTTTTAAACTGGATTCAAATGAGATAAAGAAAACCTGTTCTTTTCTGCAGCTAAAATGACCACTTGTTTCTGTCATCTGACAGGTTATTATTGGAAATATCAAGTTTGTTCATGGTAACCAGACATTCCCCCTTTTGGTTTTGTTTTGCTTGTTTTTAAAGAATATTTGGATATAAAACTGCAAGTATGAATCGTTATGTGAGGAGAGACTTTTTTTTCTTCATAGTTTAACTTTGTATTCATGGCATCAAAAGCAGAGAAGGAAAACATCAATCTAATAGGTCAAACAATCAAAAGAGGTAGCGAAAAGGTTAGTGAAAAGCATTCTCAAGCTGAATTCTTTTGCCTCCTAAGACATACTTTCTATATGCACCTAGTTTCACACAGGTTGATCACAGCCAACTTAAGAATACCACCAGAAAGGAAGAAATTCAAAATTGTAAAGCAAATTTTTGTTGAAAGAAAAAGGAAGCAAAATATTGGAAGAAGCAAATATTAACTTTAATGTAACTACAAATGTCACCGTACTTGTATCAAATATTTAGCATTACAGAGTTTGTAACATATTTTGCATAAATTATTTGCTATTCAATATTTTTGTTATGTAAGTCTAATTTTAACCTTAGATGTTTTTCAGTTTCTCATTTCTTTGCAATGTATTTTCTAATTGTTCTTGATCCCTTACACTGAGATTTAGCTCTGAACAACATTTAAACTGGGTTACAAATTTACTCTTTGTGAGTCTTAAATCAAATGGAGAATTTTATCATAGAAATCAAAATTTCATTGGCAACTTTTTCATTAGAAACCACTCTCCCAAAGATTAAAAAAAAAAAGGCATTAGTTTGTAAGACTAAGTAACCTTCAAACTTTTCCCAGACACTTTTCAAGTTGACAAATGACTTTTTCAAAAAAACACCTTACAGTTCCAAAGGAGCCTTACAAATGTGCATAACACCCTTGATTTCCTGATGCAAACCACTAAAAAATTTTAATACATTATTTTTGCAAATTCTTTGAGAATTCTCATATGTTCACACAGTGTATTCTAACCATGTTCACCCCTTAGCTCATTCCCAAACTCTCCTAGACCCACCCCTACCGGCATCTCCAGACTTCTTCCAACTTCATATTCTTTTCATAGATTCAAATTTCTGAGTCCAAACTGTGCTACCCAAGGACACCTGGGTGGGGCCCTAAACTGAAGCATGGGCAACCTACCAGGAACCACTCTCCTAAAAACAACCCCAAGTTTCCTCCCATATCAGATATTCCTCAAGCTTTTCATTTCATCAGCAGGGAACTATCAACGGGGACAATCACCTTGGAATTGTCCCTGTGATTATTCTGTGTCCTCGGCTATGATAAGAAGCTGACAACCTACAAATTCGGAGATCTTTCATATTTGGCATTATGTCCAGAGGGTCTTTAAATAAATGAGAGGTAGCTGAGGCTAAAGTCTGCTAAAGGAGGCGATCACACATATGAAATTTTTGTTATCTTGTATCAAAGATTTTGTTATTTATAACTTCTCTTCTTCAGCGATGATTACAACAGTGGCTAAAGGCAGCCAGTGTTTTAAGGTTTATAGATTCCATGAGTTATCTCATCCTGCTGTCTTAAACAATCCTGTGAAGATACATTCTTGTCCCACGTTGAGACTCATCCAAGGACACAGAGCTGATGGCCAATGATGGGTTGAACGGCTCTCAAAGCCCAGAGGTTGTTTTTCCATTACGCTAAAAGCTTCCCCCATCTCTCTGGCCAGAGCCAGAGAACTCCCAGAGATGACAGACAGAAGACATTAGGCCTGTCATATACTAAGCTCTCATTCAATGTAGAAGTCTGTATAATATACGAGTCTCTGAAGACAAGGCGCTAGTTTGCTCGTGATAATGATTTAGTTTAGGATTTAGTTCAGGAGTACGAAAACCACACATTTAATACGCAGGTCGTTTGTGAGCACACAGCCCCTCACTCTCAAGATGTGAGACAAGCAGACCCATCTGAGTGCAAAGGGAAAACAAAAGGCACAAAAACAGAAACTCAAAACAAATGGTCTATGCTGAGATCATTCCGGTGGTCGTTTAAGGCCTGTAATACAGAGCTCACCATGCAGTCAGCCAATGCATGCTTGATTCAGAGTTTACAAAAAAGACATTTGTTTTCTTTTTGTGTTTTTGGCAAGATTTTTTTTTAAACCATGAATTCTTTTTTGGGAGAACTATCATAATAAAGTGGGGTTTTTTTTTCATTTATAAGAAAGATAAACTATCAGTTATTCAAACAGACACAGATACCAGAAACTATGACAGGCTGTGGATATCAGGGGGATTATCATCTCTTCATCTCTGTCTCCTCCAGGATGGTTCTAGAAATCTCATAAAACCAGCAAGACTTTTAATATAAATTATATTTTGGAAAGCAATATAAGCCACATTTAACACTCGAGAAAACATAACCCAGTCTGAACTCAGATCTGTCTGCTTTCGGAAACTGCTTAGAAATTGCAAAATTTATTTTGCAAAGATATTTTCTAAAATAAACTGTTTAGGAGAGTAAAAATACACTTAGTTTCAACTATTCCTGACTGGGAGACATATATCCACTCTCAAACTAAATGCTAAAAATAAGTAAAGAAACTGGAAGAAAGAAAACAGAGAGCTAGTAGGAGCTGGTAGAACACTGGAAGAACAAAAATCAGATGTTTGCGTAGCGAGCACATGATCAGGGAGATGCAGGGAGCCTGGAAGGGTATCAGGCAATTCTCAAGAGCTGATCTAGTAACTTTGTATGTGTATGTTTGAGCATGTGTGTTTGTGCATGCATGTTGTGTGTGTGTGTGTGTGTGTGTATGTGTGTGTGTGCTCACGTGTGCATGCATGAATACACAAAAGTCAAAGCTCACCCTTGGATGTCTCTCTTCAGCTGTTGTCCTTCTTGGTTTGGGGAGCAAAGTCATTGGAACCATAGAGAATCCTAGTGTGATAGACTGGCAACCAGAGAGAATCCTAGTATGCTAGACTGGTTAGCCAGCTAGCTGCTGGGAACTATAGCTCTGCATCCCCACCAGCACATCCATCATTTTTATGTGGGGATGATACTCATGTGCCCAGGTTCACACAGTTCCACTTTGCCAGGTGAGATGTCTCTAGGGCCAACCTCATAGCCCTGAAGAGTTGCTCATACTGAGTAGCTGTCTAACATGTCAGAGCTCATGAACAGGCACGCATTCCTGACGGGTTGGTTTTGTAGTATGGATTCAGATAAACTGTGGTAACAGTAAAAGTTTCCAACTGCATCCATTACCATAGGAGCTCATCGCAGCTATCCCTAAGTTAAGATGCCAAGCACAGGTGATCCAGGATTGATGTTTTAAAAGCTGTGACATCATCATGAGGGTGAAATAGGCCAGCAACCAGCAACTGTGCTGTGTCTTGAAAATACAGTGGGGGAAATTGTTTGGAGAATTTAGCAGCAAACAAGCACCAGAAGGATGACCGTTTACTTTTTAATGGTGTTCTGTGACCTGCATAAGATTTTATTGTGCAGTTAAAAAGCAGCTATATTTAATTTTCTTTAAAAAAACATTAAATTCATATTTTAAAAGGTCTAGAGTTGGTTTCCATTATAAGGACATGGAGTGCACCAGCTATCCAGGACTTACTGAATTCTTAAATTCTTTCCTTCTGAGATTTATAGATTTCCTTCCATATATGTGTCTTCCTACAAAGCTGAATGACATTTTTGTACGTGTATAAATCAGATTATATTTTAAATGCACAGGAGACCCTGTAAATAAAGGATCCTTGCAATAAACCCTTTTTGTTTTCTGATCTGAGCTACCAGGCACTAATTTAATTTATCTGTAGAAAATTGATGTCCATGCATCTTTGGATGTATGATTCAATCCCCCATACCATGTCACAGGTAATGGCCCCTGGAGCCAACTTAGGCTCTGATTATCCGTAACAAAGAGTTGTGTCCAGGTTCTAAAGCAGTCTACACAAAGGATCCCTGGCAGTCAGTTCTTACTGATTTTAATCTGGAGCAATCTGAAAAGTCATATGCAGCCAGAATACATAAAGTTGAGAGTTTTATATTTCCTTGTATGAACTTCTGCCAATCATCACATCCTTGACTTTACTGAGAGGCTTCAAGTGGCCAGATTTTGAGTCACAACCTCTGAGACAATGTGTAACAAATGCATTGTTAATACAGCGCTTGGGTACCACCATATGCCGAGAGATGGAGTCTAGGAAAAAAAAAAATCACTCCAATAATTTTTACCTTTTTTTCCATGTTGTTATATCACCTTTTATTCTAATCTGAAAGTATTAGCCCTATGTTTTATTGTAGCAGTGCGAGCCTAGTTTTCCAAGCACGGTGGAACTTACATCTTGAGTAGGGGAATATAAAGCAAAGGGTAACTACACCCATGT